TCATGATTTTCCTAACATGTTTATCACCTTCCATTGCGTCTTCACATGCTGTTAAGAATAATGCCAAGTCATCAAACGCTTCTTTATCTTCTGCTTTGATCATTGGCCATTCTTCTGCTTTCTTCCAGTAAGCATTTGCTACTGCTCGCGGCTTTCCATATTTATCTTCCAGTCGTTTTCTAGCGGCTGTATACCCCATTTCTAAGGGCATGGAGAAACATCCCTGGATTAGCTGTCGCGGCTTTCCTCTGGTGTACCGCTTTAAAAGGTGTAGTCGGTCCTTTGGGTTATGCGTATGCATTTCTATTGCATATTCAAACTCTGCTACAAAGTCTCGATATTCGACTGGGTTGCCATCAAATATTTCTATTTTCACCCCTGATAATGCTGCGCGGTTGCTGTGTTCAATCAATAGTCTTTCAGTGCATGTTAGCGTGTTGGGTTCAGGTTGCATGGCCTGAGATTTGATATTGTCACAGGGTTCAGAGATTTGAAATTGTAGTGGTGCTTTTTTGCTGTCACAATTGTGTTCATCCGTGTGTATTGATGTTACATTGGCCTCTTTTGTGACCGCCTTTGCAGATGTCACAATATCCTTTTGTGCGTTTACTGTTTCATTGACCAATACAGGCTCTTTGAACAAGTTTGAAATGCCAGACATTCCGCTTGCGCTTTCAAAACTTTTACCTAAGTATGCTTGCTCCTTGGCAGTTTCTTCTGCAATGCTTGTCTCAAGTTGAAGCTATTCTCTGCGTCGTCGGGCCTTCGTTATCTCTCGCTCGTATGCTAATTTCCTTTGGCGAGCTTCTCGTTCCTGCTCAATTTGATCATCTTCATGTCTCATGATGATTTTAGCTTCCTCATCGTCAAGGACACGTTCAAGTTGTAGGCCCTTCAGACGTGCCAACATGGCTCCTTTACGTGCTAATGCACTACGCGCTGAAGCGTCACTTCTTTGACTCGAAGTACAGGACATGACACTGCTGTGGCTTCTCGATGTCCGCTTTCCTACATTGGAAGCGCTGTCTGTCGGGTCAATGCATGGTTCATCATTGTTTAGTAAATATATGCGTACTCTCTCACCCAGTTCTTGCATGCTCTTTTGTTTAAGTTGCGACCATGTTTCATATTCATGCGTGGCTTCTTCTTTGGACAGTACGTCACGGTATTTTTTATCGGTACACTCCAAATTCTCTTTTGCTTTTTCATATTTTTCCATTTCATTTTTTACCTCTAGTACTTTCGTTGGGTCACATAGTAGTGGTTCGATTCGATTTGTGATTTGAGTTATTACTCCGCTTTCGGCTTTGCGTGATAATTTCAACCCACGAACACGTTTGTCTTCGCGTGACTCCTGTAGAAAGTCCCTCACGCTAGATGTGGATGGTTCGTCTGTCGTCTGTTCTCCTACATTATTTTTGTCAGCCATTTTCTTTCGACAGGGGAATTCTGGTTGTTGAGTAGTCAATGATAACTGTTGTTACTGAATATTATTAACTTTTTGGAGATCAATGTTGTCAACAGTCTTTTGTCACAGATTTAATGATAATAATCGTGAAACAGACAACGTTTCTACAAGTCGTTATTTATGGAACGTTTTTTACTGTTACCGACGCGCTCGCGAGACTGCGTGGTTGAACAAGGTGATGGATCCCTACGGGTCTCTGCGTTCACGTGGCTAAGTTTCTAATAATACCACAAGCTCCGGTTTATGGCCTTTACTACCAGTGCATTCTAATCGTGAAGCAGTTGTCGTTATCGCTGTTATGCTTGATAAAATATCTGAAGACAGTTCATCAATTCCCATAACTTTATTGTCTCTTTTACCAAAACATGAGAATAACTGAATAACATGTAACTCAACTTCACTAGATAAAATCACTACTTAGCTGCATTGTCCTGGTTCACATTCAAACAGGTTGTCAATCTGTTGTCATGAGCACTGGCGTATTCGTAAAAAACGTATATCCCTTTGCTTGGTGTCCATCCAAAATACATGTGTTTTCTGGTTGCCTGCTTGTGTTCAACTAAACTCACTAACCTGACCTAATTATATTACAACTTAGTTGCTAAGCAACAGTGACTGTTGCTGGGCAGACATTCTATTTTGTCCTATATGTAAATTAGTTGGATTTCGTGGTCAGTGACCTAATGGGTATACTAAATTTTATCAGCTCACAATATTTTAGTCCATGTCGGTCTTTAGACGGCAACAACACCAGCCCTCAAATTGTCTTTATAAAAACTTAAAGCAATTTCCAATCTACTAACAATTACAGGTCCAACGAATTACGAACTATAAACTTGAATGAATGAAAGTACAGTACAAAAAAATCATGTAATTCGAAAGTCAAACAACTATACTGCAAATGTCTTCGAGTCTTTGTCTTGAGTATAATATATGATCTACTGGTCTTCTGCCAAATATGACCATCTGATATGTTGATTCTTCATTCACTGCCAAAAGCTGAACAATAGTGGGTTTAACTGTCCACTACTTGAGAACGTTGTTCACTGCCAACGCTGAACATAGTGGGTTTGACTGTCCACTACTTGAGAACGTTGTTCACTGCATACGCTGAACATAGTGGGTTTGACTATCCACTACTGAGAACGTTGTTCTTCAGCTTCCAGTAATGTGCATATTTTGTCATATGGTCTTGATACGATCTTGCTTCGAGTTTTCACTAACACCTTTCTTACCAATCCTCTGGCGTCAGGTATTACTTGTACAACCTTTCCAAGTGGCCACAAATTGCGTGGCGTATTTTCATCTTTAACCAACACAATGTCGTTGATTTTCAAGTTTGGTTTCACATTAAGCCACTTTTGTCGCAGTTGAAGCGATGGTAGATATTCTTTGATCCACCTCCTCCAGAAAATGTCAGACATGTACTGCACCTGTTTCCATCGGCGTTTAGGGTGTGTGTCATTCTTGTCTATCACACAAGCTGGTAGCTCGGTACTTGCCATGTTCAGCATCATGTTTGGTGTCAATGCTTTGAAATCTCTCACGTCGCCTGAAGTTGTAGTTATGGGTCGACTGTTAACTGTCATCTCCACCTCACACATGAAGGTTCTCAAGCTTTCATCAGTCAGTATTTGTTGACCAACTAATACGCTCAGAAGCTGCTTGATCGTGCGTATCTGTCTTTCCCAGACTCCTCCGAAGTGTGAACCATAAGGTGGGTTAAACTTCCAGTTGATGCCCTTACGTAGTAGCCCCTCGCTTATCTGTGCATGGTTCCACTTGCTAATTTCTTCTTGTAGCTCTTTGTTAGCTCGAACAAAGTTGCTGCCATTGTCCAATCTCATTTCTTTAACTTGTCCACGTCTTGCTGCAAATCGTCGCAGTGCATTTATGAATGAGTCCGTGTCCATTGAGTCTGCAATTTCTATGTGAACTGCTCTTATTGTTAAACATGTAAAAATCACACCATAGCGTTTGATTCGACTCCTCTTTAATTTCACCTCTATTGGGCCGAAACAATCTACGCCCACTCGTGTGAATGGCGGTTCACCAATAGCTAGTCTTTCCATCGGTAGATCTGCCATCATTTGTTCTCGTGGCTGTCCACGTTGCCGCTTGCACACAATACATTTCGATATTAATTTTCTTGCTGCCGAGTTGGCATTAACTATCCAGTACTTTTCTCGAAGCTGAGACAGTATGTACGAACGGCCAAAGTGTTGCCCTTGTTCGTGTATTTGTCGTAGTATTAACTCTGATATTATTGAGTCCTTCGGAAGTAGTATAGGATGTTTTGATTCATCAGGTATTTCCGCAAATCGCAATCTCCCTCCTACTCGCAACAATCCGTCAGTTCCAATAAAAGGATCCAATTTTCTAATGTTGCTTTTCTTTCTGAAGCTGTGATCTGAGTTGATGTGCGTTAGATCATTGATTTCTTCTGAGAATGCTTGGTGTTGCACCTTCTGTATAATCATGCTCTCTGCAGACTGTAGGTCTTCTACTGTCATCGATTTGATGGTATATTTATCACCTTGCGATTGTTGTAGTAGTGCATTCCTGATTTTCTGTATCCATGCCACAGCTTTCTTTAGCCGATGCCAACTTGAGTAGTGCGTGATTAGCCTGTCAATGGGCTC